CCTCCTCCTCCTCCTCCCTCCCCTCCTCCTCCTCTTCTCCCTCTCCACCTGCACTGGCATCACTTTCAGCCCCATGGACTCACATTTCCCACAGAAGCTCACAGAGCTGGGACAGGGACAGAGGGTGGCTGGCATAGGGTGTGCTCCTCGGGCAGGCCTCCTCCCTGCGCCCACTGAGCCTCCCGGGCCCTCTCGTTCTCACAAGCAGCACACGGCCTCACAGGCACTTCTCGAGGTTGCGATAAGATGCGACGAGGCCAAGTGCTCTTGTGATGTTCGTGTTTCCATTATGCACTTGGGGGGGTCCCTTCCGAGGACCTGTTTCAGGGACCTCTGCGCACTTGCCAGAGAAGGCAGCGCTCGACTGCAGGACTGCTGTGCGCGTCCGGGACCCCCCGAGCCAGCACTCGTGCCCGGGTGTTGGGAACGAGGTCGGGGTGCCATCCTCTTAGCCCCCCAGAGCCTGGCCCCTCATGCAGGCCCAGGGCGGTGTCGTCTGGTGACCGGTCCTCGCTCCCCATGTAAGGAAACGGGGTGGGGAGCACGAAGCGACAGGCAGATCTGTTTTCACAGGAGATCGTGAACAGAGAATCCAACACGGAGGTTTGGAAGACCATCTTGTCCGAGGTCCGCCTGGTGCATGTGAACACCTCCGCGGTGCTGAAGGTGAGGGGGCGCCGGGTCTGGCTCACGCGTCCGGGCCTGGGGCTCACAAGATCAGTTTACTGACCCTCAGGCCCAGTGGGCTCCTAGCGGGCAGCTAGTCTGGCCAAGGTTGTTGCCTTGTTTCCTTCGCACTGAAGGGGGAGGACTTTAACTTCTCACCACCGGATCCTGAGTGACTGTCCCATGGAGGAGAGGGTGCCGCCCTGGCGGGCTGCGGACAGAGTGACGGGTGGCGGGTGTCAGCCGGGGCCTCCGGCCTCCCTTTCACGCCCCGCCTCCCTCGGTTTGCCAGCTGAGCGGGGCACACCTCCCGGACTGGGGGTTCCGGCAGCTGGAGGTCGTTGGGGAGAAGCTGTCCCGGGGCCACCACGAGAGCGCCGTGTGGAACGTGGAAGAGCACCGCTACGGCAGGGGTGAGTGCGCCTGGCCCGCTGGCGACCTGTCACCGCCGCGTTACCAGGACGCCGGCCCGCGGGCTCCGGTCCCGGGGTGTGGGGGCTGGAACGCTGACCCTGCTCGCTGCTCGGCCAAGCCGTGAACAGCCAAAGCCGTCACCCCGAGGTGTCGCGGGAAGGCAGTGCGAGCTGAGCTCTCTGGAAAGATCCAGGTTTGGCGGTTGCTCTCCTGTACGGCAGGGAGAGCCGAACGGGGTGACGAGGTTTGACGGAGCTGTCGTGGGTGGTTTGAGGAGGGGGAAGTCGGCTTTTCACCAAGCTGACGCCTTCTGCTGTGAGCTCCCCGGCCTTCCGCTCACGTTCGTCTGGGTCCGGTGTGTCTGTCAGGCCAGGAGCAGAAGGAGAGAGAGGTGGAGCTGCACTCACCCGCGCAGATGGACTTCAGTAGGAATCTGAGCTTCATGGCCAGGTTCCTGGAGCTGCAGGTGACGCAGGGGGCGTGGGGGACGGTGCCACGGCTCTGCGGGGGGAGCGGGCGCCTCGCCAGACAGCGCTGTGCCCTGGAGAGCGGCTCCCTCCGCAGTGTCGGCCGGGGGCCTGGCTGAGCAGGGTGGGCTCCTCTCTCTCTCTGCTAAGTGGAGTGTGCGGTCCGTCCCCTGGTTGGGTCAGAGGGCGCCACGGTCAACACGATAGAGCCTGAGGGAGGTCCAGAGCAGAAACTCGGGATCCCGAATCTAAAAAGTGTCCTCAGCACCAAGTTTGGTCCCTTTGGCCGCGGACGGGCTGGCTGGAGCTCTGGGGCGGGGTCTCCGGGGAAGTGGGATGGCCACATGCCCGGACGGGACAGGTCCCTGAGCAGTGAGGCGCCTGGCTGATCGCTCGCCTCAAGCCTGTGGCCTGTTGCAGTGGAGGATGCTGACGGCCAAGAGTGACGGCTCGGAGCACAAGTACAGCTCGTCGCCGCTGGACTGGGTCACACTGGACACCAGCATCGCTTACTGGCTGCACCCCAGGACCAGCGTAAGTGGGTGCTGGCGCTGGGGGCCATCACAGTCGTCCCTCGAGACTCCTGCCACTGCCTCCTACCCAGCCCGGCTTACTCCAGGGCCTTCCCCGTGAAAGCCCACGATGGGCTTTTCCCTACGCGACTCGGCAGTGCGGGGCCAGTACTCCCGCCAGACGTGAGGAGCAAGGTCCTACGTGTTTGCACGTTGAGGGAAACCAGGCTTTACCGCTCTGTGGGGGGGTACGCTGTTCCCCTTTCCTGACAGAAGTGGTTTGTAAAACGTCCCCACTGCATTTCCTGTGCCCGTCAGGGCTGTTCCATCTCTCGTCCCTCTTGTCCCAGCAGGACCGACGGCCCTGGAGCTGGCGCTGTCAGTGCTCAGCAGATATTCCCCAAATTTTCATGCTGAACATGCTCACTTCTCTCCTTCCCACCTAAGCGGGGATGAGTCATCACCTGCCGGGAAGCAGGGTCCTTGGCCCTGTGTGGCTCTGGGTTGGCCCTTGTTAATGTGAGAGTCTCTGCCTCCCAAATCGAGGGCCGGAGTCTCGTTGGGAACAGGCACAGCCGTCAGTGGTGGGGGCCCAGCCTGTGCCAGCATTTCGGCTGGAAGCCAGCAGGCGGGCAGGCGAGCGTCGGAGAGGGTTTGTCCCTCTGAGTGGCCGGCCGATGGCTGATGGTGTGTCCCCGTACGCTCACAGGCTCAGATCCACCTGCTTGGAAACGTTGTGATCTGGGCTTCAGCCAGCCTCGCCACTGTGGTCTACGCCCTGCTCTTCTTCTGGTACCTGCTGAGACGCCGGAGAAAGATCTGTGACCTCCCCGAGGGTTAGTGCAGCTTCTCTCCTTCTTTCTTCTTCTTTTGTTTTTTTTAATGTTTCTGAGAGAGACAGCATGAGCAGGGAGGGTCAGAGAGAGAAGGAGACAGAATCCGAAACAGGCTCCAGGCTCTGAGCTAGCTGTCAGCACGGAGCCCGACGCGGGGCTTGGAACCCATAAACCGTGAGATCGTGACCTGAGCTGAAGTTGGATGCCGCACCGACTGAGCCCCCCAGGTGCCCCTGATGGGCAGTTGATTTCTGATGGGCACTCTTGGAGCCTCAGGCGACAGCCCCGCCTCACCAGGGACGTGCGCCTTAGGCGATGTTCTTTGTGGAAGGAAGGAAAAGAAAATTGAGTTTTGTCTCCCTAGAAACAGTGCTGGCAGTTGACATCCCATGTAGTCAGCGCTTCTTCAGGGCGCTGCAGGTACCGGGGGGAAGTGCTCTGGCCCAGGCGCTCTGGATCGGCTGGATGGCACAGAGCGGCCAGTGGGCCATTGCTTGGGCGGGGGTGGCGTGCAGACCACCTCAAAACAGAAACGTCGTGGGGACCTGGGCAGGGCTGGGCCGCAGCCGCCTGGGGAGCAGTGTGGCGCCGTCGCCACTCTCCCCACCAGCTCCTGCCCCGCGGGGCGGGCCGGGTGCCCAAGCACAGCCCCTTACGGCTCCGAGGCGGCTGACCCACTACGTGGTGATCCTGGACAAGGTGGAGATTGGGGGTCAGCCCCCTGGGGGCTGGTGTGGCTCAGAGGGTGGGGATGGGGAGGATCCCGCGGGAAGCCACCAGAAGTTCGACACGGTCCGTTGTTTGCCCAGAGATCACGGGAAGGGTCTGGAGGTGGGGGAGGAAGGAGAGCAGGCGTCCCTGAGAGAGGAGGCAGGCGGCCCGGGGGACAGCAGAGGCTCTGCAGGCGGGGCCCGGGTCCGCAGCACCGGCTCAGGGCCGCCTCCCCGCCCCAGATTCCTGGCTGCGCTGGGTGCTGGCGGGGGCTGTGTGTGCCGGCGGCTGGGCAGTGAACTACCTCCCCTTCTTCCTGATGGAGAAGACGCTCTTCCTCTACCACTACCTGCCGGCGCTCACCTTCCAGATCCTCCTGCTCCCTGTAGTCTTGCAGCACATCAGCGACCGCCTGTGCAGGTACGGCCTCCCAGGCCCCGGCGCGGTGCGGGTCACAGCAGGGACGCCGGGGGAGGCAGCTGTGGCCGGGGGGGGGGGCAGGTGCAGGCGTGGGCGATGGGGAAGCACCCTCTGGTGGGGCTGCACGGTGCGTTGAGCTAAAGCAGAGATGTGTGAACCAGAGAGTTCTGGAAGCTGGAGCGAAGGGCACGGGCTCAGGATGAGGTGTGGCCGGGAGCTGCGGAGCCTCTCGGGAGGGCTGTGGTACGAGGATGCTCAGTGTGGGGACAGATGGGAGATTTTGGAAGATGTGTGGGGAGGGTCACAGCGCGTCAGGGGGACGGGGTCCCTCATGCCCGTGCCCTGCCGTGGTGCCCGCAGGACCCAGCTCCTGCGGAGCCTCTTCGGCGCCCTGCTTGTGGCCTGGTACTCCTGTGCCTGTCACGTGTTCAACGCGCTGCGCCCGCTGACCTACGGGGACAAGTCCCTCTCCCCCAGCGAGCTGAAGGCCCTTCGCTGGAAAGACAGCTGGGACATTTTGATCCGGAAATACTAGCAGGACGCGAACCCAGTGAACGTGTGGGCTTGGGCCGGGCCCGGGTAGCACTTCTGTGGGGGACTCACTCGTGACGGGGCTGGCCAGGCTGCCGTCCTCACAGAAGCATTTTGCTCCAAGCAACAAGGTTTCTTCGCGCCCTCTGGGTCCACTAACGTCCAAGACCCCCCCCTGAACCCGGCTAGTGCAGGCCCCATGGTGGAGGAGAAACCGGAAGGGAGTGGGCTGGGAGGGGGAGGGAGGGTCGCGCCCGCTGGACCACGGCGTCTCTGCCCCTGACCCCGGGGAGGTCTTGAGGACGCGCTCCGACCCCTGTGGGGTCAAACAAGCTACTGAGCGACAAGCCTTTGATGAAGCCGAGGTGGGATTCTAGTCACTGCCCTGGGGACCCTGTGACTCTTAACCCCCCACCCCTGCGGGATTTGGCTGAGGTGCCCGGGCGAGCGGCCCGTTGGCTGAGGCTGACCCCGTCCACGCAGGGTCCTGGTCCTGAATATGCTTTCTGTGTGTAATTAAAAAAGGAACAAATTGGTATCAGTATTTGGTGTTATTTATTGATTCTCCAGAAGGGGAGATGACGATCTTGACAAGACGGTCACACACTGGGAAAGCAGCCCTGGAGCTCAGCCAAGCCCCACGGAGGTCCTACCGTGTCACTACACACGGAACTTACTAGAAGGAAACCGGAAGTGCCCGTGTGGTTTAGCTGGTGGCGACAGCAAAGCATCGCCTTTACAGAAATGGCGCTAGCGGGGAGGGCAGACCAAGCAGGACAACGCGGCCCCGCGGCATGTGTGCAGCCGTGGACTCCGGGTGGGTGCGGGGAGAGCGGCTGGCTTTGGACGGCATGCCCCGGCCTCGGGAAGGCCTGTGTGCAGAGCCCGTGGGGCCCAGGCGGCTCCTGCAGGTGGGGAGGCCTGACCCTGAGGGGGACCACGTGTGGCCACCGCGGGTGCCGGCCTGCCTCCTGTCCCAGCCCGCACGGCCGGGGCCCGGGACTCGGGCTTGGGGAGCAGGGCCCACCTCCTGCGTCTGGCGCTGGCTGAGGAAAGCTTGTGCCCTGGGCTCCGCCCTTGGCCAGGAGGAGGGAAACCCCTCTGTGGCTCCCACACCTGTGTGCGCCACACGGGCTCGCACCCTACCACGGGGCATGACACTCGGTCACTGGGTCACAACTGACGGGAGAATAAATAACAATGAAACAGAACACTTGCACGTGTAACGCGTAAAAAGGGGAAATACTCTCTCCAAACCTGTGTTTCAGTCACGTGTGTGTGGGAACCAGATCGGCCTACAGAAGTCCCTCACGCCGTGGGCTCCGTCAAACACACCGGGACAGCCAAGGGGCCGGGCTGTCTGCCCCGTGTTCCCCACATCCGTGACCGACTTACCACACGGTCTGCGGCACTGCTCCGTAACTTGAACGTGGCCTTGTAAGCTTCCTGAAGGTGAGGAAGCACGTGGAGACAGCAGGAGGGCCTGCCAACCTCCCGGGGGGCTCAGTGTAACAGGTGCAGGTCTGCCCCCAACCGCGAGGAACCCCATGATCCTCGCGCCCCACCCCCCTCTGTACCGGGAGGCGCTGACAGGAAGCGGTGGCGTCTCCAGGGGCGGGCAGGCGTCTCCCGGCCGGACCCGGAGCAGGCCGTCGGGGGGCCTGCCCAGGAGCCTGGGCACCTCGCTCCTCAGTGGGGTCTGCTGCTGGACTCCAAGTGTGACCGCTTGCCGGGCGTCAGCACCCCGGGGTGGCCTCCCGGCTCGGGAAACGTCCTCTTGTAGCTCCGCCCATTGGGCCCTCGCTGCCACTTGCAGATGTCGCCGCTCAGGATGTCCTGGATGTGCTGCACGATCAGGTTGATGGCCACTGCGGCATGGACAGTGCGCACTCAGCCACATCCGTCCCCTCCAGGCCAGCAGAAAGCCTGACGTGGGCTTGTGGCTCGGCGGCTCCGTGCTGGGGGCATGGGCCTTTCCACCGAGGCTTCCGGGTGGCACCGCGTCTCCGCGGACGGGAAAACATAGGTCAGGCAGCGAGCACAGTGAAACTCAGCGGCCCGGTCTGCAGGGGTTTCTGTTAACCGGGAGCCTGGCCGAGCCACTCCGCTAACGGGACTCCCCATCGGTAGCAACCTTTTCTTTACCAGCTTTACTGAGACATAACTGACGACCAGCATTGGATCAACTTAAGGTGTACAACGCTTCAAATGTGTTTTTGAATACTTGAAACAGCGCCTAAGTGTACATGGACAGGCAGCTGTCCTGGACGGGGCTAGGCCTGCCTCGGCTCAGGGGGTGGATGGAGCAGTGGGGCGGGCTCTTACCCATGTTGTCCACCCCTCGAGGGATGATCACTTCGGCGTACTTCTTTGTCTGCAAGGCAAGGAGAAGGCCTCGTGAGGATCCATCCCCCACTGGGGTGACTTCTAGTTGTGTGAGGCCAGATTCAACTCAGGAGAGCAGCCCCAGGGCGCAGACGGGGAGCCAGGATTCAGGGCTGAACCAGGGGCGAGAGGCAGTGACGGAAGAGGCACAGCGGGAAGAGAAGTGGGAGCAGCTGGAAGAGACGCGTGTCTCCCCTGGTGTCTCCCTCACGCTTTCCCGTGGACGCCACCACGGGGCCGGATCTCTGCGCGAACAGTGCACTGAGCCAAGTCCAGCAGGGCGTCCTGCCACAACAGGCTGTGACCCTCCTCCGCGGGACCTAGGAGCCCCTCCGCAGGAGCCCCGGCGTGGTGAGCAGGGCAGTGGCCGCAGACCAGACCCTGGAGGGCACGGCTGCAGCCTGTGCGAGGCCGTCGTCAGTACCTGCTGCTGCACTAACATCCCCGGTAGGTGCCTAGCTAGGTAAGGGCAGGGAGACATACACCGGAGGTGCAGGGCCACCGGAGAGGGTCCCCAACCAGATGCCGAGAGAGACACACATGCAGCAAGCAAAGCAGCGGCAGAGGAAAGAGAACCCGTTCTGGGCTGAGGGACAGAGCGGCAGAGAGTGCAGTGTTGTGGGCCTGTGGATACGGACCAACGGCATGTCACATGGGCGGGCAGTGGGGACCCACCGAGGACATGAGCGCGGGGGGTCCAGGCTGGTCTCAGGGTTTGCTCACTGGTGGGGTGCAGACGAGGGGCTGGCAAGGGGCGGGAGGGAAGGAACCCAATGCAGAGCCGAGAAAGGCCGTGCTGCAGGGGTGGGGGAGGGACATGGTCACCCAGGCCGGACTCATGTGAGGCTGCATGTAAGAGGGGCAAGTTCAAAGGCAGTCCGCACAGGGTCATTGGTCAGACTGGGTGTCTGGAGTTTTACCGTAAACCACCTACTTTGCCAAGTATTTTTCTGTAAATAACAAAATGTAACTTTTACTTTCTAATCACTCTCCAGGAGCTTCAGAGAACACATAAGATAAAAAACGTTCTCTTCAAGCAACAGGAGAGGGAACTCATTGGTCCAATTTAACGGAAGCAGGAATCCGGGTTTCAGAATTCCTTTGTGCCATGTTTACTTTTAAGCAGCAAAATATTGGGGCACCTGGGTGGCTCAGTCTGTTAAGCATCTGACTACCGCTCAGGTCACGATGTTATGCTTCATGGGTTCGAGCCCTGCACTGGGCTCTGTGCTGACAGCTCAGAGCCTGGAGCCTGCTCTGGATTCTGTGTCTCCCTCTCTCTCTTTCCTTCCCCTACTTGCACTCACTTGCTCTCTCTCTAATATAAACATTAAAAAAAAATTAAGAAGGAAAATATTTAGTTTCCCCTGAAAAGCACTTGAAGCCCTATCTAGTTAGGAACGGAAGGTGGAAGAAATGACAGATGGCCCCGTGACAGTGAAGTCCTCTCTGCAAGCCACCTGGGCCTGGAGCACCAGCCAAGCGCAGCCTGGAGAAACACACGGCCAAGTGTGTGGGGAAGTCAGCAGGTGCCTACGACATGCAGATCCATGAACAAACACATCCCTTCCCTGGTGGGCTTTCCTGTTCTGAGGGGGGCCGAGCAAAGCAGGGAGCGTGAGACCAGAGGTGCCCTAGAGAAGGGGGAGCAAGGGGGCTCAAAGCAGGGGGTCCTTGAGGTGAGCAAGTGGGGTGAGTTGAGGCCCGCAGCAGAGAAGAGGTGAGCTGCGTGGATGTGGGGGACAAGGGGCTTTTCGAAGCAGAGGAAGTGATAAAGCGAAAGACGCTTTCAGAGCCGGGAACTAGTCTCTGGGAACGGGGTGCAGTGGGCTCACTTCTCCATTCATAAATTGGAGCCCGTTCACCCACGATTCAGCTCTCAGAGAACAGGGCGCCAGGGCTCCTCTCGAAAAGGGAGAAAAGGAGGGTCGCAAGTAAGTGAAAGGTACCGGCAGGCAGAACTCCTCGAAGGCGGGTTTGACGAAGGTGGTGTACTGGGTCAGAATCTGCTCCAGGTCCCTCCCACGGTGCACGTCCCGGAGAACTGAGGCAAGGAGAGGGTGGGGGTGAGGACTCCTGGCCGGCCTCAGCCAGGGCCAGAGAGGCCTGTGCCTGCCTCACCTCTTCTCGACAGCCTGACGTCGGAGTCCGTGTCCACGAAGAGGCGCAGGTGAAACATGTCACGGACCTCCTGGCTGTAGAACACCAAGATGCCCTCAAACAGGACCACGTCCGCGGGGTACACCACTGTGGTCTCTGGTAACCTGCGGGGCGAGACCCGGAGACGGGCCTTGCTCGAGATGCGGGTCCAGGGGCCCAGGCCCAGTCAGCGTGGAGGGGGACGGATCACAGCAGCGGAGGGAGGGGGGAGAGAGGGGCATGCAGAGGCCAACAGGGCAAGGCTGCCGCAGGTCAGTGTGTGGACGCCCCAGTGGGGACGCGCTGGCTGGCCCCCGGCACACGGTTCCTCTCCCAGGAGCCACTGCTCACCTTGAGTGTGTCACAAAATCATAGGTTGGGACCTCGACGGTTTTGCCCTCCACGATGTTTTTCAGAGTCCTGTGCATCAGGTCATTATCAAAAGCATCTGCAGGGAATGCAACGAAAGGCAAGACTATCCAGGTGCCCCTGTGCTGGGGCCACAGCTGGCTGCCCGGCGGCCGTCCCAGCGACCCTCAGGGACATGTGGACTGGGAGCCGCCCCTACCGACCACATTTACGGGACCACTGCCCAGGCTCCTGTCCCACAGAGAAGTCTGAACCCAGCGATTTCCTGACCGGCCAGCCCGGGGAGGTAGATGGTGTAGACCTCTGCTTCTACTTTTACTTCTGAGAAATAAATAACCATCAACTGACGCTCCTCAGGCCTTCCTCCCACGTGTCCCCCAAGAAAGAAAGAGGGCCAGCCGCAGGGTGGAATCTTCTAGCAGTGACAGGCAAGGGCAGGCCGGCTCTTTCCCCTCATCTGTTTACCCCATTTCCACCTGTGCCCCGACCAGACTCTTGTTTACCCTCTGCTTCCTGGTCTGGCCCCAGGACTTTGGCCCCAGGGCAGGTGAGGAAATGCAAAACGCTGCGCACAGAGGACCCGGAACCGGAGGAGGGTGCGTGGACTGCTCCGTGGCCACGGAGGTGGCAGAGCTGAAGGCCCCTCCGCAGAGAAGACTTCCTGACGGGCTCCAACCGAGGGAGCCGGGAGGTGCTGCGGGGCTGCTCGGGGCGCAGAGGGCCAGGCCCCTTTCCTGGAGCCACTCGGGTCTCTGCATCTCCAGCCAACCCTGGACCCCAGACCCCTTGGTCTGTCCTCCCCTGCCCCCCTCAGGGTCTCCGGCTGCACCTGGGTGGTCGAAATTGTACTGGCCCTTCAGTGCCTTGGCCTTCTGCTCCGCCGTCAGGACCTTGTAGAACCTGTCTTGGCTCAGGATGACCAGCTTCCGCTGCCGGTGGTCCACCTCGTTCTGGCCCAGCAGCTCCATGATCTTCTCACACACCGTGGACTGGGGATACACAGTCAGGGTTCCCGCCCGGAGCCGCTCCTCCTGCCACCGGGCGGCCCTTTCCCGGGCGTTTCTGCGCGGAGCTGGCTTCTGGGGACACTGACCCACCAGCCCCCAGGGGGCTGCCCAGCAGGCCTGCGACGGGTGCGGCAAGGCTAGGGGTAGGGCCGCGGGGCCTAGCAGGGGCAGCATGCACGGGGGGCCCGGAGGGACCGGGCCGGCGGGAAGGCTGTGGCGGTGGGGGCCCGAAGCCAAGCGCCCCACGCCCTGCCCGCCACGGCCGCATCCCCGAGCCCCTGCGCTCCCCCGCTCCGCCCGCGCCCTAGAGGGGGCGCCTCGGCAGCGGGAGCTGGGGGTCTCTTCTCTGACTAGAGGCCGCAACGGGCCGCCCAGAGGCTCCGGGGGCCGGAGATCGAGCTGCTTGCAGGCCCCGCCAGGCCGCCCAGCCCCTTACCTTCCCGCTCGCGGTGCCGCCGCTCACCCCGATCAGGAAGGGCCGCTGGTGAGGGCGGTCCGCCTCCGGCGCGGCGCCCTCGCAGTCGCCGCCTCCAGCGGAAGCCATCCCGGGCTCCGCTGGCCGGCATCGGGGTCCTCGCTCCCAGCGGCTCCCAGAACCAGCCGGTCCGCTTGTCCCGGCTGGAAGGTCGGAGACGCCCCCCTGGGCCCCACTTCCGGGAGGCGGGGGCGGGAGCGCGCGGAGCACGGCGGGAGTTGTAGTCCGAGGCAGCCGAGGGCGCCGCGCCTGCGTGGGGCGGGCCGACCGCCGTTGCCGGGGAAACGGAGGCCGGCTGACCTTCGGCGGCGGGCCCCGGAGACCCTGGTGCTGCAGGTTTGCCGCGAAGGACGAAAGCCGCCGAGTGCCGCAGTTGGCTGTAGGCCACTCCAGACGCGGAGCGGCCGCCCCGTCAGACGTGGTGGCCCCGAAAGTTCCCTCCGTCCGCGCCTCTGGTGCCTGGAGGCGTCAGGGGTGGGGGTCAAGGGTAGCGCGGGACCCGCAAGGGAGCCTCCTGAGCCACGTGGCCCGAGTGGGAAACTCACCGACTTTAGAGCCTCGTGAGCGGCCCTCCCGAGGACGCGGTGCGGCCTGTTTTCCTCTCCAGCGTCCTCCACCCCGGCCGCCGGAGTTTCTTCCTAACGTTGCCCTGATCGCGCTGTCCCCCCCCTTCAGTGGCCCCCCACTAACTCTCCTTAACCTCCCCAGCACGTGACAACCGTGACTTTTTAGGATGACTTTTTAAGACGCCTGACTAGGCAGGCTGTGAGCCAAGGAAGCAGACATGGGAACCCCCGGCGCCTTCGTGCCTGGCACAGAGAAGGCAAACGCCGATGGGTTCAAATGGTGTGTTTCCCCAAGGGATCAAGACTCTCCTTGCAAGTCTAGCTCCCGATGCATCTGAGCCTCACCGTGAGTATTTGATGATAACGAGGTGGGTATGATGCCGCAGAGACTACAGTAACCCGCGGACACCAGGCAAAGTCTGTTTAGGTAACTTCAGAAATACCGACCGGCTTGCCTGGGTGGCTCTGTCTGGTAAGCCTTCAACTTCGGCTCAGGGCATGATCACGCGGTTAGTGAGTTCGAGCCTCACGTCGGGCCCTGTGCTGACGGCTCAGAACCTGGAGCTGCTTCAGATTCTGTGTCTCCCTCTCTTTGCTCCTCCCGCACTCACACTCTGTCTCTCCTTCAAAAATAAACATTAAAAACAAAAATGTTTTAAGTACCAATGCATCTCAGGAGGGGCTACAGGCAGCTTCTGCTGGTCAGAGGGCGGGGTTGCTAGGGGGGCTTGGGCCTCCTGAGCTCTGTGACCTGGACACACTGAAGCCAACGAAGGGACAGGAGAAAGCCCCCTCCTCACTGAGAGGAACTTCCACAGGAGCTCAGAATCCGGAGGACCATTCATCTGCTAACATTGAGCGGGGGCGGGGGCAGGTGCCTCCCCTCTGGGCTGAGAGAGTGACCTCCGGCAGTTCTGTGATCTCTCTGCATTTCCTCTTTCCAAATGGGGAAAAGTTACGACTTAAAAATTTTTTTTAAAAAATATTTTTCAGAGGGGTGCCTGGGTGGCTTAGTCGGTTGGGCATCCGACTTTCACTTAGGTCAGGATCTCGCGATTCGTGGGTTCGAGCCCCGCGTCGGGCTCTGTGCTGACTGCCAGCTCAGAGCCTGGAGCCTGTTTCAGTCTGTGACTCCCTCTCTCTCTGACCCTCCCCTGCTCACGCTGTCTCTCTCTCTCTCCTGGAAATAAATAAAAAACATTTAAAAAAAATATTTTTCAGAGACAGAGCATGAGCAGGGGAGGGGCAGAGAAAGAGAGACACAGAATCTGAAGCAGCTCCAGGCTCTGAGCTGTCAGCACAGAGCCCGATGGGGGGCTCGAACCCACAAACCCTGAGATCATGCCCTGAGCCGAAGTCGGATGCTTAACTGACTGAGCCACCCAGGTGCCCCACGACTTTTTCAAATTAACATTTGTTAAGCGGAGCATGGGTCTGGGGGAGGGGGAGGCGGTGGCTGCCAACAGACCACAGAGAAAGTGACGCAGAGACATTGACCTCACACAGGTCATGGAGGAAGTACACGCCGCCTCAAGGGGCCACAGGAGGTCAAGGCAGAGCACACCCAGGCAGGTAGGACCTGGGGCGCATGCCTTTGTTCAGGCCATGGGCGGGGTGCAGTGGGGGTCCTCAGACCAGGGAGAAGCTGTGTGGGGGTGCGTAAGTGCGCAGGCGCCGCCATCACCCTGGCTGCTCCTCTCCTCCCCGGGGCCTGCGCTCCTATGAGGACCCGCGTCAGGGGAAGGGCTCTGCAGGCTGTGGGGACAGAGCGGCCGTGAGGCCCCAGTCCCATGGGGCAGCTCGGCTAAACTTTTTTTTTTGTTAATGTTTTTATTTATTTTTGGGGGGGTAGCAGAAAGAGGGAGACACAGAACCCAAAGCAGGCTCCAGGCTCTGAGCTGTCAGCACAGAGCCGGACTCGGGGCTGGAACTCATGAACCGTGAGATGCTGCCCTGAGCGGAAGTCCGATGCTTAACCGACTGAGCCCCCCAGGCGCCCCATATTTTTTAAAAGTAATCTCTACACCTGGTGTGGGGCTCGAACCAGCAACCCTGAGATCCAGAGTCGCACGCTCCGCCTCCTGACCCAGCCCGGCGCCCCTGAGGTTGAGGTGTGTGATTTCTCTCGGTGTGATGGAGTTTATGTGCTCTTGAGAGGGAAGCCACAGATGAAGGGCCATCACACCGGGACCTACGACATCCTCAGGTGCCACTAGTGATGTTAACCTTGATCACCTGGCTAAGGCGGTGTCTGCCGGCGTTTCCCCTGAAAACTTACTGTTCTTCCCCCTTGTACTTGGAAAGTAGTCTAAAGGAGGTAACTTGAGACCATCCAAACACGGTTTCTGCTGAAGCAACTTTCACCTTCGCTAGGCTTAGCATCTGTGCGTCTTGCCTGCGGCAATTATGACTGCGATGTTCTAATGGTGATTTTCTATTTTCCACACCCTCTGCTAATAGGTTCTGCTGTGAAGAGAATTGCCTCTTCGCTCCCATTTATGTATTCATTCGGTCACTTACATCAGCGGGGGCTTATGGGTATTTTATTCACGGGTTACATTACGATGGGTTCGTTACTTTGTTACTCAGGTTATTCTACTTCTGGCCACAGCCACCAGTTTTATGTCTGTCCCTGCGCCTGTCTCCCTTTTTAAAGCACATCATTGGGGCGCCTGGGTGGCTTAGTCGGTTAAGCGTCCGACTTTCGCTTAGGTCAGGATCTCGCGGTTCGTGGGTTCGAGCCCCGCGTCGGGCTCTGTGCTGACTGCCAGCTCAGAGCCTGGAGCCTGTTTCAGTCTGTGACTCCCTCTCTCTCTGACCCTCCCCTGCTCACGCTGTCTCTCTCTCTCTCTCCTAAAAAGAAAAAAAAAGAAAAAAGAAACCGGGATCGGGCTGCCAGGTATAGTAAGGACAGCTCTGTAAATGCACCACTCTTTAAACGTAGGGTAAGGTTTTTCCTACTTTTTTTTCCTACTTTTTTTCCTGCTTTTTCCATACATAGACCCACATCTACCCCCCACCCCATCTTTTTAGCTGTTACTTTCACTGTTGTACCATTTGCTTTTAAACATGCTTAAAGATGGGGCACCTAGCTGGCCCGGTGGGTACAGTGTATAACTCTTGATGTTGGGGTTGGGAGTTCAAGCCCCATATTGGGCATAGAACCCACTAAAAGAGAAGAAAAGTGCTGGACACATTTGGTACGGTGCCTTTTTTTCATCCTTTTTCTTTTTTGCCTTAGTTTGCCAGTTACCTTTCAGCACAATTAAAACTAAGGAAATGTTTTATCGTACTTTTGAGTTTTCCGTTTCTGCACTTCTTTGTGTAGATCCCTGTTTCAGTCTGATGTTTCTTTTCCCTGAATCAATTCCCTCAGTGTTTTATTTCTGATGTCAACTTTTTAAAAAATGTTTATTTATTCATTTATTTAGAGTGCAAGTGGGGAGGTGAGGCAGAGAGAGGGAGAGAGAGAATTGGACACAGGCTCCGTGCTATCAGCACAGAGCCGGACTTGGGGCTCGATCCCACAACTCTGAGATCATGACCTGAGCCAAAATCAAGAGTCAGAGGCTTAAAGGACTGAGCCACCCAGGTGCCCCTCTGCTGTCAACTTTTGAAATCTCAAGGACATTTTTATTTTGTTTAACGAATGTTCCTTTTTTTTTTTTTTAATAGCATCTTGTTCTTATTTCATGAATGTCTTCCTAATCTCTAGGATACTGCAGAATTAAAAAAAATTTTTCTTCTGGGGCGCCTGGGTGGCTTAGTCGGTTGAGCGTCCGACTTTCGCTTAGGTCAGAATCTCGTGGTTCGTGGGTTCAAGCCCTGCGTTGGGCTCTGTACTGACTGCCAGCTCGGAGCCTGGAGCCTGTTTCAGTCTGTGACTCCCTCTCTCTCTGACCTTCCCTTGCTCACGCTGTCTCTCTCTCTCTCTCCTAGAAATAAATAAAACAAAAACAAAAAAATGTTTTTTTTTTCTCTCTGCACCATCTCTGTTTACTCAGTTTCTTCCATTTGTTTATCTGTGCCTCAGGTGACCTGCTTTTTGCAGTGGGTGGCCCTCCTCTCTGCTAAGAGCCAGGGACTAGCAAGGTGGTTGGAAATTCTGTGTGGGGGGGCGGTTTGCTCTGCTGAGTGTTTTCATGGAGGAAACCCTAGAATTTGTGTATCTTTTCTTGTGGTCTGGTCATATTCCCACCAGAGGATTCTAGTCTTCTGCCAGGAAGGTGAAGGCCCATCCGCTGCCTTTCTCTGAGGCAGCGATAACCACAACCATTGTTTAGAACTTAGACCAAGAAAATTATTGCCCCCCAGGCAGCGTATTTTGTCACTTACATTGTTTAGAATTACTGTCGACTCATCAAAAGCAGAACAGCCTCCAGTCATTCTTTATTTTTTTTTAATGTTTTATTTATTTCTGAGAGAGAGAGAGACAGCATGAGCAAGGGAGGGTCAGAGAGATAGGGAGACACAGAATCTG